CCTTTCTAGGGCTGAAAAGCCGCGAAAATGTCCAGGCGGCAGATCCTGAAGATCCCTCGCCCCGGCGGGGGTGGGCCAGGCTCCCAGCGTGAGCCCTCAGCCGCGGAGCCGACGGGGCTGCGGGGGGCTCCGGCGGCCGCGCACGGACGGGGCTGCGGGGGGCTCCGGCGGCTGCCGGCAGGACGGCAAGTTCAAGCCCGTCTCCCCCGCAGCCCGCCCGTCCCTTCCCGAGGGGCCACGGCCGCAAGGCACACGCCGTCGGGAGTCGCGGCGCGGCTCGGGGTGGGGGGAATAAACTCTCCCCGCCGGGAAGCCGCCCGGAGGAGCGGTACGAGAAGCACGGGGGGCACCTCTTCGCTCCCCCCCCGCCCCCCGGCCGGGCTCCGCCGCCTCTCCGGCAGCCCAGCCGAGCCGGCCCGAAGCCTCCCGCCCCGGGGCGTGCTGGCGGCCGGGCTGTCCCCCCGGTCCCCCGGCCCCTACCTTCCAGCAGCACCTCCTTGCCGGCCCGCTTGAGCGCCTGCACCGCTTCGTCGTGGGTGGCATCCCGCAGGTCGGTGCCGTTGACGGCCAGGATGGCATCGCCCACGTAGAGGGCCTGGGTCTGGTCGGCCGCCAGCCCCTTGAAGATCTTGCTGATGAGGATGGGCATCTTGTTCTCCTTGCCCCCCTTGATGCTGATGCCCAGCCCGCCCAGCTCCTGCTTCAGCACCTTCACGCACCGCTTCTTGTTGGAGACGGCCTCGGGCACCTGCTCGGGGGGGTCGGTGAAGGCGGTGCGCACGGCCGCCGCCCCCCCGCCGCCCTCGGCCCCGCGGCACGCCGCCCCATCGCCGCCCAGGCCGTTATGGGCCGCGCCGTCGGGGCGCTCCTCGCCGCTCAGCACCAGCGCCTCGCCGCCCAAGTTGGCCAGCACTTTGTGCCAGCGCTCCCGCACCAAAACTTCCAGCCAGCCGCTGCGCTGCGCCCGGCCGCCCCCGCCGCCGCCGCCCGCCGCCGCTACCGCCATCTTAGGAGCATGCTGGAAGCGCCGAGTGACGGCACCCCCGGCACGGCGCGGCGCGGCGCGGCG